CCCCGCAGTCCCACGCTCTGCTCTGCACTAGGGCTAACAGCGCCTAGCCAAGTCCCATGCAAGGCAAAGAACTATTGCTCACAAAGCATCAATGTAATCGTTTATTTAAAAGGAGAACTTAACTTTCTGCTGGGGGCAAAGGTGGAGAAGCACACGCAGGAATGCTGGTGTTCACAGAGCTGCTTCTCTCCACCTTTGCTTTTGCGTCTCAAGCTCCAGGAGTCACTTAAAAGCAGCTATGCATTTTCAAGAAGTAAATCTCTTGGACGAGTACCTTATGTTCACGAGCTGGAGAGGGAAGGTGCTGGGCTGTGTATCGGAGCTCCCAGCCAGAGAAGACAGCTATCTCTTTTGGCACAGGTTCTCGGGGATGAGACCATGTCTAGCGGGGAACCTTCTCCAGATTCAACAGCCTTGGCCCCACCAAACCGCGCAGCTTTGCTCGCACCATACATCACTCGTCACGAGGCTTTCGTGTTTCCTTTCAAGCGTCCACAGGTCAAATACTGTGTGTTCCCAATAGTCTGAGAACTTCTTGGACCAGCAAAGGGACATTCATTTTGCTCAGCACTCCTTTACCATTTCCATTGTGTTCAATTTCCCACTCCCCCTACCCACGTCCCCGGAGAATAACTTCTTCCTTGTTTTAATAACTTGGACCACGGTCAAGGTTGCTGTGTTTCTCCATTTTGCAGGATATTTTCTTCAGGAGAGACAAAACAGAGGCTGACAGAGTAGCCAAGGCTTGTGAGCAGCCTTAAAAATTCAGCAGCCATTAAGAGCACATAGAAAATCTCTTTCAAAAAATAAAAGCAGGCAATGCCAAGGCACCGTAAACAGAATTATTCGTAAAGGTGGACTAATACTTAGAGAAGGTCCCTGGCAACTTTTTCCTCTCAGTGACCCACTGGAAAAATCTAATTTTGTTTGTGGGTGAGGTCAAGGGTCAGAGTTAAGAAAGTGGTTTCATAAAGTATCTTCTCTTTGACTTGAAATTGAAATACAATGATATCCCATGTGAGGTCATAAAAGTAATTCTGGTCCCAGGAGCAGGCAGAGATTAGAAAACGAGTAAAGGGAGAAGGAGACGAGAGTAAAACAGTGGCATCCGCCCCTCCCCATTATACATGAGGCTTTCCTCTCCTCTTCCCGTGCTCTCCCCGAAAACCGGCCCCGCCCACTAGCCCATCACCTCCCAGACATCTAACGGAAGACGTCTCCGTGCACTGGTTAGGACAAGAGGAAACAACCTTATTTTTTTAATAAAAGTAACACTGTCAAGGAAAGAAGACATGAACATATATTTAGTGGGGGTGAGTCTGAAGTACATGATCTTTTAATAAAAAATTGATAGTACCTCATTTTTATGAGCAACATGGGACTTACATCTTTCTTCTCCAAAGCATGAGTGAAACCTCCCATTTTCCTGTTCTACATCTACCTTGTCACCACGCTTTTCTTACCACCGATTTCAAAATAGTGTCAGGACACTGCTTACAGATTAAAGCAGAAGATGGGTTTTTTCTCTTTATCCGTCTTTACGAAATATCTTTTCTGAAGTGCATTTTCAGTGTTCTTATATCATGACAAAAGAAAGTAAATTTGGTATTACAGGGAATAATGACGCCTACCCAGATTACGTCCCCTCTAGGAAAAAACAAACTTTCTGCTGGAATAACAGACTCCGCGGAATCCCGTGCTCAGCTATTTGAGGGCCCGGAGGAAAGAGCTAGGGAGGCATTGTCCTCACGAGCTAAAAGAGAGGCAACCTGTGAGTCATCACCCACCCGTGGTTTGTAAAATCGATCTACATATAACTACCAGCACTTGAGAAATGATGTGGAATAAAGCAGAAACTGTCAGTGCGCACAGCATGGACCACGGGTAAGTACTGTTTTCTGAAATTTCATATTGTGTGTGTGCATGCACACGCACGTGTGTGTATCGGATCTCAGTGTGAGAGGTCTTCTACTGTGGTCACAATCTGAAAGCTCAAGAAACTCTAATCTGGGGCCCAGAATCTAGAGTCAGACAGGCGAGGGTTTCAGCATCATTCTGCCACTTGCCCCCTACGAGAGCTTGGTTAGGTGGCTTAATCTCACCAGCCTCCTCACCCGAAAGGTGGATGTGGCCACAAACCTAGGACTGTCATGAGATCAGAAGAGGAAACATGGGTAAAGCCGCTCACCCGGGGTCCAATACTGTTAACATCCCCCCTTGGACAAATGTTCCATTCACAGATGGGAGCGGATGTTGGCGGAGTTGCCACATGCTCTGAAAGGACACGCCCAGCGTGAGAGATCAGGTTAGTAAATTAGGCAACCGCACATGGGTTTTGCTCTCCAAAGAGTTGCTCTTCTGTGGGACTATTGCAGCCACCTGATCCTTGGCAGCTCTCTGAATGAAGTCAGTATTCTAGAAATACATCTTGATTCCAGAAATCCTGTCTCAAAATGTAAGCATCAGACCTATGAAAAAACTTGTCTAGTTTTTTTTTCTTATGTGGAATTGAAAAAGATAAATTATTCATACTCAGTGTTTCCTCCTACAGTATAGCTTCTGACTCCCCAGCAAGTGACTATTACCACATGTCTAAAGACCTTGAAAGATGTCAAAATTACCTCAACTGTGGAAAGACCCAGATTCAAACAGATGCCGAGATTCTTTATCTGTAATTTTTGTAATTAAGCAAAAAAGAAAAAAAAACCTGCACTCAAACTTTTAAAAACTGTAACATACACATTTCAAAATCATGTTCCATCTATTCGTGGCATTTAGTTTGGGGGGAGATACTGAATGCTGAGTGGAGAAGGGGGAAAGAAAGGAAGAGACCCAGAAAGAAATGGTAGGACCAAGATGCCAAGAAACGTAAGTTGGGAGGAGGTGGAATGCTGAACTTGTCGGCATCCCCTTCCTTGGATGCAAGTGGGGAAAGAACAGAATTAAATCAACAGGAAGCTTCTTCTTTTAAGGTCTAGAGAGAGGAAGTGGAAATTTGAATAAAAGAGAAAAATTGAGCCCTGGCTGGTGTAGCTCAGTGGATTGAGTGTGGGCTGCGAACCAAAGCATCGCAGGTTCGATTCCCAGTCAGGGCACATGCCTGGGTTGCAGGCCATGGCCCCCAGCAACCACACATTGATGTTTCTCTCTCTCTCTTTCTCCCTCCCTCTCTAAAAATAAATAAATAAAATCTTTAAAAAAAAAGGAAAGAAAAATTGGGGGTGGGGTGGAGAGAATGATCTAACAGCAAGTCTTAAAAGATGGAAAAAAAAAAGATGAGAAACAACTCTGCTGGTTACTGAAAGACAACTCAAAAAAGCAGGACCAAGCCAATAAAGGGGAGGATGATGAGGAGAGGGAGGCTGGTCCTGGTGTTCGAGCAGAGAAAATGAAATCAGAAGAAATAGTTCCAGAAACATCCCAGGGTGCAGGCTCCAGGACTGAGGAAGGCGCAGATGTTTGGGAAGGAAAAATTCTTTGCAGGAAGTCTGGCCATAGACTCGGGGTAACAATTAAGTCCTCCCTTAAAGATGTAAAGGTAAAGGGAGAAAAGGCAAGTGAAGTATGACTGAAAGATCTGACTGATCTAACAGCAATATGTGTAATGCCACAAATTTAGTTTATGAGAGTCATGAAGAAATGAGCAGGGTTGCTACTGCATCATTCTAAGAACTGTTTTCCAGGAGTATATTGATGAGAAGCGTCACCACTCCACTTTCATCCACAGCATGTCCTCAATACATAAGAAGCAGAAAGAGAGAGACGACTGGAAGTTTCCCATCCCAGGGCACTGATGGCTATCCTGATTACCCCTCGTCAGTCCTAACTCCTGCATCACCCCCAGGCACCACCAACAAGGCCTATGCCATTTGCCATCATCGCATTGTCCACTCACTTGCTCTGCCCTTCTGTCCATTTCACTGAGCTGGAGCTCCCAGCAGCAACTCTAGAAGAGAAGAAGAGGTGGGGAACAGGGAATGGAGCATGCATGGCTCTAAAAGCCCCCCAGAACCCAGAATCCAATGAGAAGCCACTGAATACACAGAAATGTGAAGGCAGCTGTCTGGTGCAGAGTGCTGGACTGAGTCTCCAGGCCCGCTGGAGCTGACAGTGAGGTGAAAGGCCCCACGGGGAGGCTGGAAGAGCCTGGGCTTTTGGAATTAGATCTGGGCTTGGAGGCCCAGCGCTACCACTTCATATGATGTGAACTTGGGAATTCAACTCTCTGAGCTTGATTTACTTCTTTGGAAAACAGGGTACCAGTACCAGGGCCTCATAATGTTATCAGGGAGACTAGATGAGGTGACCTAAAAGATCACCTGATAAATCACAGAAGCATCCTGAGGGTCACATCCAACTGTCTATCAACCCAGACTTGCTAGAAAGCTGGAAGTAAGTTCTTTCACTGGAGAAAGCAAGTCCCACTTGCTTGTCTTTGTTCATTTTCAGGTGGAGAGAATTGCCCCTACCTACCTACGTTTGATAGTTTATGTTCTCCCTACTGTAGTTGTATATCGAGTGTGAAACAGCTTGTTGGTGCAACTAGGTATGAGAACAGTAGATTCTGCATTGTCCAAATCATTATCTCTCAAATGTAAAGTTAGATCCTCAACTTTGTAAATGCAAAGCATTTCTTGATAAGATATGTAATAGGTAACATCTGTGGTATCACTGGCAAGACATAAACATTAAACGAGGTTGAATGGAGACAACTTAGAAGAACTCTAAAAAAAATTTCAGTATGTAAAGGCCATGTTAAGGTTTCCCAATATTCTTAACTCCCTTGTTCCAGACAAAATGTCCCTTATTTATATGCCTGCAAATTTAATACTTGAACACAACCCACCAACTAGTGGTGGGAGGAAAACATCTTGACTCTGAAAAGAGCCTTGACTACTTTTCTAAAACTGTACTCTCGTCAGAAGGTATAAGCACCTTTAAGATGGTTCAAAAGGGCGTTAAGTTACTGTCGAAGGGCAATGGAATAGAGACAATCTTACCCCTTTAATGTGGCTCCTAAGTTCATCTGATTCCAGGTCATGCATTCAAGCTGGGAGGTCATCTGGTATAAATTGTCGCTGTTAGAAAAACATGCAGAGTTAGAAACACAAAACTACAAAAATATAAACGTGCAATTGTCTCTTCAAAAAAAAACAATGGAGTTTTAGCTTCCCTGTACCGTGAAAGCCCCCACGTTCTCCAGGATGACAGAACACACGAGTCTGAAATAATTTCCACTGCATCCCACTGATCTCCGCACAGTCAGACACTTCATACACTGCAGAAGGTATGTGGGGGTCATTTGGAAGCCTTTAAAAAAACAACTTACTATGGCTAACATTGAAGTTTCTAAAGGGGTATTAAACCTTTGAAGGGAAGAGGCTAAAGGTAATGAAACTTTGGAAGGCAACACAGGCTGGATAACTCAACATTAAAGTTAAAAGCCTGGAGCTGAAAGTAAAAAGGCAGCAGATTAATTATTCGTGGAAAAGCCATTAAGTTGCTTTAATCAAAAGGATAAGTGTCATGTGGATCATGAGGGCCTGAAAAGTCAGAGTGATGGGTGGTGAATGGTCCAATACTCAAGGATGTGACAGGCAAAAGAAAGAGGATGATAAACTCTACGCACAGCTAAAGGAATCATTTCCCATACATTTTATTATTCTGGTACAAGTAAAGGGAGCTTTTTTCTAAAAGTCCCCCACCCCAGTTCTAAAAAGTGGGATGAGGAAAAACAATGACTGATCATTTACATTAAGACCCCGAAGGAGAAATACATGATCATGAGAACCAATCAAAAGTTATTCTTCCCCCCACAAAAAGTTGTTCTCTCCCTTTTATTTTGCACATCCAATTCACATAAACGCCTTTATTACATGTGGTTTTAAATGTCGCTCTAAATGCTATTATAGAAGGTTTCTCACATCCAGTCCCTGAAAGAACACCCCTGTCCAAGGAGCCTGCAAGTGCAAGTCTTTTAAATATCTCTATTACATGTGTCTTCATTTTTATTTATTCATGAGTGTACTTATCTTCTATTTATCTCATGCCTAGAAAACTAGCACATATGCCATCAGGCATATTACCATGCTCTATTAGGAAAACATTTAGTCCTGAACTGAAATGGTTAATTATGAAATTTGAAACCCAAGAGATTAATGGTTTGTTTGGGAGCCCTTGGTCTAAACACAGTACAGAAGAAATTTTCACTCCACCTTTGTGGCAGAGGTAAACAAAGGCTACGAAGCTTTCAATATCTAACGCGCGATATCAAATTGCAAATTCTGGACAATCTCCATCTTGTCACGGCATTCCTTTGGGTTGCTTCACCCATCGGGCCGAAGCAGCACCGAAGTTTAATTAAGAGAAGGTGTTGTCGAGCCAGCCTAACTGGGAAATTACAGCAACGCAGAATAAATGAATACAGTGCTCTCTCTTGGCGTAGCTTGATAAATCATAGCCAAGCCCATCTGCCTCCTGTGTAATCGCTCTGAAAATTATTTGGGACTCCTCCGTGGCGGGTACACAGGATAAGGAGAAAATCAGATTCCAGAAGGGAATCTTACATATGAAATGAGAAGTGACTTCAATCTCAAAGTATGTGTAGTTTCATTAGTCAGTGTATATCTGGATCCCATCATTCATCCCCATGTCTGACTGGCTATTATGCTACTACAATGTCCTACATATCAATGGAAAAAAAATGATTTGTTTCTCCTGCAGCTTCCCTGGTTTGCAGCAGCGGCCGGTGCTGGTCTGTGCCACTGCGTTTCTCAATTCCACGAATTCTTGCTGTAAGGCCAGTGTAATTAATTCCTGAAGGACCCCGATTTTTATTAGAAGTGCCAGCCTGCTGCATTTAACACAGAAGAGTTTCTTGAACTTTCTTTGGGTTGACAGTTCATTAATAAGCAGCCTCCTCCACAATCTCTACTGGTTTTTGTTCTCTTGCGCCTTTTCATCAAGCAATCCATTTATTAATCTCGCCATTAATCTCAGCCAACAGGCATTGTATTCCCCAGGCAGCTCTATGTATTTGTCACTGATTTTTTAAAAATTGTTCACCAACTAAAATCACTCAGCTCCAGTTGACAATTCTCCTAGGTCCTATTGGGATGTGGGATCTTTCTGAAATTATTTCATCCTTGCATAAGCCTAAGAAAATCCTAATTTTTAAGGGGGCTGAGAAACAAGATGAGTGACAGAAGTTTACATATGGGTTAATGAGTCCCAAATATCTAACTTTATGGTTTAGGCATCTTCTCACAGATTTCAAAAAATAATCCAATAGAGCCCTAAGGGTCACTAGGAAGTACCCCAAAGAGAACATATTTTTAAGGACATGTTCTTGGCCCCCATAGAACAAACTTTCTTAAATACAAGTTATGTCTTACACATTGGTATCTTCCTAGTAGGTGCTTAATAAATACTCTTCACTGCCTTGTCCAGTGTGGTAGTCACATGTGGCTACTGAGCACTTGAAATATGGCTAGTGCCGCATGTTGAAATGAGATTTTGACTACACTGGGTTAAAGAGAATATTTCAAAATTAACTTCACTGTTTCTTTTTTATGTGGCTGCTAGCAAATTTCAAACTACATCTATGGCTTGTATTATGTTTCTGCCGGACAGTGCTACTTCTGTAAGTTTTAGAATCTTGAGCAAATTAAGCAAATCAATTCAGCTCTCTGCACCTCAGTTTTCTCACCTGCCTAATGGGAATATTAGTCTCAATCAGTTTAACTTCACAGAGATGTTGTAAAGCTCTAATAATGGCTCTTTGAGGACTAGACAGATACAATCTTTTAATATTTCTAATCTAGCAAATCTTGCACAGTGCTGACTGATTCTCCACGGCAACTTTGCGAGGCAGGTATATTTATTTATGATCCCCATTTATCAAAGGAGGGCTCAGAGAGGTGCCTGCTGCTGACTTGCTGATGCCCCAACCCCCACCCTGCCCTTCGCCTTTGAAAGCTTCAGACATCATGTGGCCCCTGAGCCTCGTCTTCTCACTACCATTTAAATAATAGTAATAATAATACAGACTGCAAGAGTCTGGAAGTGGGAGGGAACACATGCAAGGAAGCATAACCTACTCTGTCTCCAGAAAGTTACAAGATGCAAGATGCCCAACGCATCCCCTTGAGCTAACGAAGGACAAATGTGCCAAGGTCCCAACTGGAGTCCCGCCTCTTGACTGCAGTGGCCCTGAGAGCCCAGCTTGTAAATCCTCAGAAGGAGAGAGGCAGGATAGGAAGAAGGACTTTCAGAAAATCCCCAGCTACTCATAGGTTTCCTGAGGCCAGCGATAGGATCAGAGCACAGTTTTAACCACATCCTGCCTTCTGTTGGCCGGGGCTCCTCGGCAGCTCAGTCAGGAGGCTGGACTGGCACAATCCTTCAGCTGGAAGCCCAGGATGGCAATGACAATAACTGCCGCTGGGGCGAGGACAAAATGTGAACTCGAGCTAAAAATACTGGGCCCATGCATGTTCAGGCTCTGATCTCTTTGGGCGATCAGTCAACACCCAGCTCTCATCATGAAAACCCACGCAAAGAGGCAGCACTGCTCAAAGAATATATGGCCCCTGACAAATAAGGCATCTAATTATTGAATAACCGCTGAAGGTGTCAGCCACCTCATTCCCAAAGGAGATCAGATAAGCAGGCGGTTTGGCTCAGAGCAGCCACAGTGGTCACGTAGGCATTTCAGCTCCCCGTCTAACTGTCCGTGTGGAAGTGAACTCTGAAATCGCAGGCTGCCAAAACGTATTCCCAAAGTCATGGTGTCCTTTATCTTTTTTTAAGTAGGTCTTTAAAAAAAAAGACACTTGTTTCCTATGTAAGAAATGTTTGAAGTTGGAGGCAACAGAGAGAGAGGAAAGAAACTTCCATAACTGGGATTAATGCAAGCTGGAGTAAAATAAAAGGAAGTCAGTCTTTGCAAAGAGGGGAACTTAAAAGGAAATCGGTAGTAGATCATATAGAGTTTGTTTTGGCCTGGACTGCAGTATTACTGAGTTCTTGACCTCCGCACAGAAAGAAAGGAAGACGAAAACCCTCAGCTATTATCTGGACTAGAACTCCTCCACTCTTCAAATGCATTTGTAATTCAAGTACATTTTCATCTTTCAGTGTGTTTACTATATTCAGTAGAACAAGGTAGAAAAGATCTTAGGCCACTGGAATAGAACCACTGAACCTGGTGGAGAGTGGAATTACCTCTTCCTGATAGTTGGTAGCTGGCAAAGGAGAATCTTTTTTTTCCCCATTACAGTTTACATTCAGTATTATTCTATATCAGTTTCAAGTGTGCAGCCTAGTGGTTAGACAATCAGATACTTTACAAAGTGGTCCCTCTGATGTTTTCAGTACCCAGCTGGCCCCAGACGTAGTTACTACAACATTATTGACTATATTCCCTGTGCTGTGCTTTATATCCCCGTGACTATTCTGTAGCTACCAATCTGTCCATCTGTACTTCTTCATCCCTTACCTTTTTTTACCCAGTTCCCCAATCCCCCCACAAAGTAGCATCTTGGTGGAAGAAAAGACTTTGTCCATGGGATGATTTTTTTAAGCCAAACAGGAACCAAGCAAACGTAACTGGCATCCGTGATCAGAATTCGTGTTTCCAGCATTTGCCGAGACAGCTCTGGCCCACACTAACAGAGAGGTCTCTGCACCTTCACCTCTACCTGATAAGCAAGGCTCACGCACTGCTCAGGCTGCGGCCAGACTTCCACGCTGCCCTTCTCCTGCGTTCTTTCCTCTGAGGCGCCTCGGAGGCTGCCTGTCGAGAAATTTCTGCCCAGCAGGCCATGGTGAATAATTATTTTACAGTCAATCTCTTGGTATTGTAATTTCTCTCAAGCTCGCCAGTTAACCAAAGAAAAACCCACTGGGGATTCAACTTCTATTAATAAACACTTGGTCAGCACAAAAGTTGAAGGAATATTGAAACTAGGTTTCCCCCCTCCCTGGAGACAAGTCCAGTGCAAGTTTTTGGCTTTGATATCAAACACCATGAACCGACCACCTTGGAAACCATTCCGGACTCTCTGCCTTCCTGCCT